TGGATGTCGGAGCCACGAAGCAACGCCCCCGACACCGAGGCTTAAAAGACACCGACAAGCGTGGCAGCATTGCAGTCTGTGAGAGTGCAGGAGGCAGTTTTAAGATCTCCGCTTTGACCCTCAGGCTAAAATCGACGGTCACCTGTGATTGCACCCAAATCGCAGCTGCAACGACATGACGCAAGGGCCGACGACAGGCTGTGGATGTCGGAGCCACGAAGCAACGCCCCCGACGCCGAGGCTTAAAAGACACCGACAAGCGTGGCAGCATTGCAGTCTGTGAGAGTGCAGGAGCGGTTTAAGATCTCCGCTTTGACCCTCAGGCTAAAATCAACGGTCACCTCTGAGTGCACACAAATCGCCGCTGCAACGACACGACGCAAGGGCCGACGACAGCCTGTGGATGTCGGAGCCACGAAGCAACGCCCCCGACACCGAGGCTTAAAAAACACCGACAAGCGTGGCAGCATTGCAGTCTGTGAGAGTGCAGGAGGCAGTTTTAAGATCTCCGCTTTGACCCTCAGGCTAAAATCGACGGTCACCTGTGATTGCACACAAATCGCAGCTGCAACGACACGACGCAAGGGCCGACGACAGGCTGCGGATGTCGGAGCCACGAAGCAACGCCCCCCGACGCCGAGACTTAAAAGACACCGACAAGCGTGGCAGCATTGCAGTCTGTGAGAGTGCAGGAGGCAGTTTTAAGATCTCCGCTTTGACCCTCAGGCTAAAATCGACGGTCACCTGTGATTGCACACAAATCGCAGCTGCAACAACACAACGCGAGGGCCGACGACAGGCTGCGGATGTCGGAGCCACGAAGCAACGCCCCCCGACGCCGAGGCTTAAAAGACACTAACAAGCGTGGCAGCATTACGGTCTGTGAAAGTGCAGGAGGCGGTTTTAAGATGTCCGCTTTGACCCTCAGGCTAAAATCGACGGTCATCTCTGAGTGCACACAAATCGCAGCTGCAACGACACGACGCAAGCGCCGACGACAGTCTGTGGATGTCGGAGCCACGAAGCAACGCCCCCGACGCCGAGGCTTAAAAGACACCGACAAGCGTGGCGGCATTGCAGTCTTTGAGAGTGCAGGAGGCGGTTTAAGATCTCCGCTTTGACCCTCAGGCTAAAATCAACGGTCACCTCTGAGTGCACACAAATCGCCGCTGCAACGACACGACGTAAGGGCCGACGACAGCCTGTGGATGTCGGAGCCACGAAGCAACGCCCCCGACACCGAGGCTTAAAAGACACCGACAAGCGTGGCAGCATTGCAGTCTGTGAGAGTGCAGGAGGCAGTTTTAAGATCTCCGCTTTGACCCTCAGGCTAAAATCGACGGTCACCTGTGATTGCACACAAATCGCAGCTGCAACGACACGACGCAAGGGCCGACGACAGGCTGCGGATGTCGGAGCCACGAAGCAACGCCCCCCGACGCCGAGACTTAAAAGACACCGACAAGCGTGGCAGCATTGCAGTCTGTGAGAGTGCAGGAGGCAGTTTTAAGATCTCCGCTTTGACCCTCAGGCTAAAATCGACGGTCACCTGTGAGTGCACCCAAACGCAGCTGCAACGACATGACGCAAGGGCCGACGACAGGCTGTGGATGTCGGAGCCACGAAGCAACGCCCCCCGACGCCGAGGCTTAAAAGACACCGACAAGCGTGGCAGCATTGCAGTCTGTGAGAGTGCAGGAGGCAGTTTTAGGATCTCCGCTTTGACCCTCAGGCTAAAATCGACGGTCACCTCTGAGTGCACACAATCGCCGGTGCAACGACACGACGCAAGGGCCGACGACAGGCTGTGGATGTCGGAGCCACGAAGCAACGCTCCCCGACGCCGAGGCTTAAAAGACACGAACAGGCTTTGCAGCATTGCAGTCTGTGAGAGTGCAGGAGGCAGTTTTAAGATCTCCGCTTTGACCCTCAGGTGGGTACAAATCCTAGTTTGACCTTTCACAGCATTCCTCACTCCGCTGGTCTGCCTCCTGTTGTCCCTTGCCAATCATTCCCGACGACTGTAATCATTGCATCGTGCCTTTGAAGCAACTAATACCCGAAAGCCTAAGGCTCAAATGCGCGGAATGTAACGACTCCTATTATGTTTGAAAATGTGCAGGTTTCAACAACGCAAAATTCAAAGCTATGATTTGCATTGATTTTGCTTTTGTTGTCTTGGAGGTGTACAATATGCAAAGTTAACTCCCAACGACAGTCGCTGCGAACTGAAAGACAGGAACGTCTGCTTAAAAAAACCTAAAGAAGTCACCAAAAAAAGGAAGAAAGACATTTACAGTTTTTTGTAATGCGACATTAGAGCACAGCTATTTAGAAAGAGGCTGGGAGGCAGAGGATGGGAGGCAATGCCCCTCCTTCTCCTCTTCCCCCTCCCCTCCTTCTTTCCTGCCCCGCCCCCTTTAGTGGAAAATGTTGCGAAAATTTTCCGGTTAAATTTAGCGGCAAATTCAGCAAACATTTCTCCGCTAAATTTACCTAAAAATATTCCCATAATAAAAAGCGCGATTACACCCGGTTGCATTATTTCCATAATGCAGCTTGCGTGGTTACGTTGACGCCGACGGCAACGGTGACACCGCTGAACCCGGAAACAGTCACCCAAAAGCGGCACTTTAGAAACTAACCAGATGTCGCATGTCTTAAAAAAAACACTGATGGAAGTCTTAAATATAATCGAGACCATCGGGAAAAAAAACCTGAATCTGCAGTCAGCAAAACAACACTCCGTAATTCACAATCAGGATGAAGAGGAAAAGACAATCGAAGCAATCCAGAAAACAACTGAAATGCTTTCGAAGCAGTACAGTGACTTGAACGAGCTGAGGAAAAAGGACAAAATTACTCGGAAACCTCGGTAAAAGAGGGACGCGCGAAATAAAGAACTTGATTAGGCGGCTGGAAACGTTCAGGAATGTTAATCGCGGAAGAACATAGATATATGTGGTATCGTCGGAAATATTCAAGAAGACTTGACAGCCGTTCTCGGCAATCTGGCAGTAAAAATGAACCTGCCTGTGCCTTATCCTTATAAGATTGAATCTGTGCAAAGATTGAAAACGACGGTAGGAAAAATTCCTCCAAGCATTGTGCGGTTCAGGGACAAGTCAGATAAAGGATGGTTGGTCAAGAAGCGCACCGCATTATCATCCAACCGTATTTTTATCAACGAGAGCCTGACGAAGGCTCCTGCGATGTTTGTCTTGGAACGCAAAAGAACGTGCAAAAGAAAATGTCTACAAATATGTCTGGATGAACAACGGGAAACAGTGTGGCAGAGAGACGGTGCGGCTGCGATACATATTGATGAAGCGAGTGACTTGAACCAACGTTTTTTTATATGATCTCATGCAGTGCATATATATATTGGGACAGGTGCACCAAGACCATACCAGTAGGAAACTGAATGGAACACTGCGAACATGTTCTTCATATTATTCAAATGAATATCCGACGCCTTAAGAAACACTGGGAGAACTAGGTGTCTACCTGCTGGATGCTTTGATAGAAATATATATAATATTACTAACCGAACGAAACATGGAGGCTGCACAACTTCTGACATTTTATCGTGAATTTAACGCAAAATCGGCATGCCGACAAGGCAGAAAAGAAGGAGGAAATATCGTCTACATAAACGATTCCTCTCCATTTGCTCGTATTAAGTGGTCTTTGAATCGCGCGGACGTTCTTGTGCATACTACTCATAAAACAGAACTGCCATTTAAAACATCTGTTCTGTATAGTCCGCCTAGCAATCCTAAAGTCTAGGGTAGTTTGGAACAATCCCTGGACTTCGGAGACGCCAGCGACGCAGACGGCATGAACTGGAATCGACAGCTGACGGAGGTCACGAAGCGCTGCCTGGTAATTTGTAAAAAATCTTTGTCGCAAAACCAATTCTGCTAAACTCGGCGCAATGTTGCTCTGAAGCGCAATACACAGACAAAAGCAGATGTGAACATTTTTTTTTATTACGGTACCAGAGTTACTCAGGACTGCCCGCTGCGTTGAAAGGGGTTTTGGTACAACAGATATATTGGCTGTTTGACTGAATACTTTTGACCTCCGAATATGTTAGTGTAATTGTGTACGCATAACTCTTTGACCGTCAGCTTGAAAAAAATGTGACAACGTTATATTTGGCACTTTATCATAAATAGTGGGTGGGCTTGATCCAAGCATAATTCAAACAAAAAAACAAATAAGGGGTCTAGTTTTCCACAGGTCGAAACAATTCCAGTGTTTTCTGATAGATTTCACCAGTGTTCCAGTGATTCTCTTATCGCAAGTGGATACACTAAAGCTCACTCAATTGCAAATATGTGAACCAGTTTTTTACACCACCCACTTTGCTCGCCGAATCGGGCGCAGCCAGATTTTTGTCTGTTGCCTGCACTCAGACCATGAAAAAAGGAGTATATATCTTTGATTACGAAGCTGTGCTTCAGTTCCGTTAGTACCCAGAAAAAATCGTTTTTCTTCTCCCTGGGCTGACAACCCAAACACCGCTGGGAGAGAGCATCACACCCAAATGGGACTACGTAAAGAAGTCCCAAGCTGCCACTTGCCAGGGGCACTTCCTACACGTCAAACCTCACCACTTCTAATAAATCTCTCACGTGCAAAATGGATATGTTGTTTTTTCTTCAATGTTTATTCACACTACCTTCGCAGCAAATTATTTCCGGGTTATCGAAATTGACAGTGGTCTTCCTCATAGCAACGTTTAGAGCGTTGGCTATATTATGTCGTTTAGCGTCTGAGAGTGTTGCATAAAAAAAATCCTTTAGCCGAAGGAGCAGTCACAGAAGGGAACGTCTCAAACTCAGCTCAAACTCAAACTCAGTTACGAAATTATTTAGCCAAATGCTTGGTGCCGTCGCCTTAACGAAATTTTTATTGCTGCCAGTGTGCGGCAAGCAGAGGCAGTTTCTTCCAGTTTGTAACAAGAATATAATGGACACGTTCATTTCACGCAGCGGCAGTATGACTTTCGACGACATGATGAATTCTGCGACGGCTGAAGACCACGCCACTATGCATTCTGTGTCTGGAAAAGTGCAGTTCGACCAAGACGCTTTCATCCAGTATTCATCGGTAATTGTTTAAAAGCTCGAAATAATATTTAACATTATCATACTAGCTTATTATACAGAACGATATTATAAAAATTAACCAATAAGTTAGCGATCAGCATAACATTGCTGAGGTCGTACTCTGACGGTCACAAATCTACAGCCTGGTACAACCGGCTTGTGGGTCAGTGAGGTTACCTTCATTTAGAGCACCCTTTTCACAAGTTTCTTTAAATGAATCCTTCCAAACAATTTTGGGACTCGTCGCTGTAATCCCAAATTGCACCGCGCGGCCAGAATTATTGTTGAGCTGTCAGATGTGCTCTCGGACCAACTCAACAACAACAACAAAATAATTAAAACAAGGACGACACACATTGTATACCAGTATCACACTCGTGCCACATGGGCAACTCGAATGCCATTTACAACGAATGACATTTGAACGATCGGCCAATCAGCGCGCGACACTCCGAGCATGGGGCGTTCCACGCGCGACAGATCGCGAGCCGATTCGTGGATCACACGTATGTCATTCGTTGTAAATGGCATTTGAGTTGCCCCGTGTGGCACGGGTATTAACCACAGTTTACCAGAATTTATAACACTGGTCTAATATCACCATATTCTACAAGGAATATGTAAAGCAGCAATCTTTGATAGTTGTCACGGTTGACACTATTGTAGGAAATTGAAAACCGGCAAAAGGTGAAAATAACTTGGCACAATAAGCCCCAAATCTTTTACCGGGTACTGTTTCCTCGGCAGATTAAACAATATATATATTTACCGGTTGTTGTGCCGAGTGGGTGTGGCAAACCTGCTGAGCTATATCGATAGACTCTATTACGTTCTTCTGCAGTAAGCAGTTTCCAGTTGATGGACATAAATCAGTTAAGAAGTTGTGAATTTCGGATCGACCGATTAGACTCTATAGTGCGGGTTTTGCGTATATTTGTAACTTTAGAGGAACCGATTTAAATTTCAGGGTTCAATTAAACCTAAATAAATAGCACGAAACAAATTTCATCCGAAAGCGTCTGCAAAAACTTGAAACGGGTTGCTAAAACATCTGTGTGACTGGGGAACAATATGTATATTTTTGTTGCCAAGGTGCAAAAACATTGGTGGGTTGTTAGGGAATGCGCTACTCTGACCCTTCGGTAACGCCGCACAGGCAGATCATCCTTTAGGAAACGCTACTGCCGACCTCTTCAATTTTCTGTTCTTGGCTTTCTTTTCTTGGTTTCTCTTTTAGAGCGCAGCTCTTAGGGGCCCGTTTCCGGCTTGAGCGGCGTCGCCGTCGCCGTCGCCGTCGCCGTCGGCGTAACCGCGCGGTGCATCATGGGAAATGTCCCATAATGCACCGCGCGAGCCCCCCACCGGGGTCACGTGACCTCGTGGGGGGTCACGTGACCCCCCGAGGTCACGTGACTCCCCTGAGGTCACGTGACCCCCTCCTCAAGGTCACGTGACCCCCTCCTCGAGGTCACGTGACCCCCCGAGGTCACGTGACCCCCGCCGATGTCGCGTGACCCCCCGATGACGTCATCGTCACTGATGACGTCACCGGCATCCACATCGTCATCGTCATCATCACTGATGACGTCACCAGCATCCACATCGTCATCGTCATAATCACTGATGACGTCACCGGCATCCACATCGTCATCGTCATCATCACTGATGACGTCACCGGCATCCACATCGTCATCGTCATCATCACTGATGACGTCACCGGCATCCACATCGTCATCGTCATCATCACTGATGACGTCACCGGCATCCGCATCGTCATCGTCATCATCACTGATGACGTCACCGGCATCCCCATCGTCATCGTCATCATCACTGATGTCACCGGTATCCACATCGTCATCGTCATCATCACTGATGACGTCACCGGCATCCACATTGTCATTGTCATCATCACTGATGACGTCACCGGTATCCACATCGTCATCGTCATCATCACTGACGACGTCACCGGCATCCGCATCGTCATCATCACTGATGACGTCATCAGTGACGTCACTGATGTCGTCACCGGCATCCGCATCGTCATCGTCATCATCACTGATGACGTCATCAGCGACGTCACTGATGACGTCACCGACATTCGCATCGTCGTCGTCATCATCACTGGTGAAGCCATCAGTGACGTCACTAATGACGTCAACGGTACCCGCATCGTCATCGTCACGGATGACGTCATCAGTGACGTCAGTGATGACATCATCGGCATTGGGGGTCACGTGACCCCCCCCCCTGGTTAGTTTACCCCCCCCCCCCCCCCCCCGTGCCCTTCCCTCCTCCTCCTCAAGAGCTGCGCTCTAATTCGGCGTTACAGGGAGTTGTAAGCGGCTTTCATTTTTTTGATTTCCCTTTTGCGTCCTATTATTTTTGCGGCCTCATTTTGGCTTTGTTGCGGGGTTAGCGTTCCTTAAGGATCCTTGCGCATTCGCTAAGAACCCACCAATGGGTATTCATTTATTTATTTTTCCGGCTTCTGTCGCACGCAGACCCGCGTCGGCTTGCCGCTTCGTACGCCGCATTTGGGCCAGCCGAGCAAGGCGCTATTAGCGCTCCTCTGTCTCGTTCGCCCGCCTTGCACGCTTAGCTGCGTCTTGCGCGGCCTCCGCGCTCGCACTGGCTTCGCCCTTGTGACGTTGCCATCCCTTTCGTCTTTCTCCTTCACTACACACCTCCTGTCCGCGCGGCTCCCTTCTTGTGACATTTTTTTTTGTGCGCGGACGGACACCATTTGCGGACAAATGAGAGCTGCAATTAATCTAAAAGGCACTGGATGGTGTTTGGGATCCCGAGAGCACATATATGTTTTAGCTGTATCTTTTTCCGCAGAAGAAATTTGTGTCTGTAAATGTTTGGTGAGTGGCGTCACGACGAACCCCGAGCCCGTCGTAGTTTCAGACCTAGTGAGGCCTGGCTGTGCGTGAAGCATCGGAGTACGTGTAAAAGGGCATCCTGATGGCTGAACTCAGCCCTGTGTTAATACCTACTGGCCCCCACCAGAACGTTTTCCCTAAACGGGTGTCCTTGTAGATACCGGCAAGGATGATTTGCTCAGTCGTCTCATCTGTACTTTTCTTCGTTCTTTCACTTCTACGTTCCCAATTTTAATTGCGCTCTCTTTTTTCTTGTATATTTGGCGTCTTTTGCTGTGCAACTTACGGGCGCAAGCTGAGGTCGGAACCAGGTTTGGTAACTTATGTTGCGAACGTTGCTTTCTAGAATGAAACAAACTTTAATACTCGTTACACACACAAAAAAAAGACTTGCTTCAATTTTTTTTTAAATGTAACTAAATCCTTATTTTGTTATTCTGAAATGTAGCTAGGTAGACGTAAAGCGTTGTATTCAGTCTGCTTGATTGAGAGTGAATATTTCCTGTACAGCAGCATAACCCACTCTTCTACGAGGCCACTATTGTTAAAATATGCGTTTTTTATTTAACCTAGGGTACAACGGGGCTGCAGAAAGCAGCTCGCCTCTCTCACTTCAACGTTGTCAACAATGCCAACACCGTAGGCCGCGTGCTTGGATACCATCAACAGGTATCGTACAACATTCATGTCCCGTTGTCGTAATACTTCGAGACGAATATCGTCATTTTAAATAAGGCTTAACAGGCACAGGCTAGAAAATGAACGACTTCGGGTAAATCATATGCAGGGTGTTTCACTAACAACAAAAATAATATTTACAACATAAAAAAACAACATAAATAACTATTTTGAGGGGGATAACGTTGCCGAACACGGCTGACGTCATATGGATTCAGGACAAAAAAAAAAAATAAGTGCCGAAACATCAACCGAAAACAAATAAGAGATGGAGCAAGCTAGAATATTATTCCACCATTCTTGGGAATAAAGCGAATGTGTTCCACGCAAACCACATACATTATCTGGCTAAAAGCTTACGCGTATTTTTCTTGCCACAAACACCCTCATAAGGTTCGTTTGAAAATAATGTAGCGGAATATGTCGTCCAAGTTTCGATATTGTTCGTTCTTCCCATGTTCTTTCCCACATTTGAAAAGAAACATGTTCGGCGGAAATCGGCCTGGTTGGTAGCACCAACCAAATTTCGAAAGGAAGCCCGACGTTTTGAAGCCAACTCGGTTTCTTCTTCAAGGGTAACTGAAAATACGCGGAGCAGCACAAACTCCTAACCTCTTCGTCTTATAAAAAAAAACAAAAAACAATTTAGTTTTGGAGAGCTTTTTTTTGAGGTCACAGAGGTCATGTGCGCGCACAAAAAGGACAATGCACCCCGGGGCCTGTAAAGGTTTCCTGTCTTATGCTGGATTTGCCACGATTCCAAGAAAAGTCTTCATTCGATATTTGCCTCCTTGTCACGTCCGCGTTCGCAAAGTCAATGCGATGGTCTAGGGCAGTGCTTCTCAACCACTGACTATTCGCGGACCCTTCGTGGATCCACGGAGATGATGGAGGACCCCGTTCGTGGTGAGGGGAAGAGAAAGCTATAGGTTGATAATGATGATTATTCAAACTGCGAGTTGGGCTAGTTGGTACTTACGCTTTGTAAATAAACTGTATTAAAAGTGCGAGTTCGGCTAGTTGGTACTTATACAGGGAGTTGCGAGTTGGGCTAGCTGGTACAGTGGCTGCACATAGTGATAGGTGTTGGGGTCTGGCCGGCTTTAATAATACCAAGACTATGAGAAATTTCAAAACGAATTTGGACCGCGAGATACGTGAGGCATTCATGATAATAGCGCATGGCACGAATGTGTCTATTAGTGCTCCTTGTGTTGCCGTATCCAATAAGGAGCAGGCTTTTATCAGTCACTCGACAGTTACGGCAGGCATTCCAGGGGGTTAATCAAAGTCCATCATTTTTGCGCATGTGCGGTTTTATTCTTCTTTTGACGTGTTTCCTTCATTACAGCTCAGTTACAAGTTACGCCTCGTCCTGTGTGCTTCTTTCTTTGTCCATGTTTTGTATGCGTATGTACTATGTGCCACCATGATAATGGTTCATTAAGTAGATATTATTACGGGCTGGTGCGAAGTAGACTTCTTTAGTTGACGTATACACGAGAAAGCTCATCCGAAAATTGGAACGCTTTTTCTCAATCGGATAAAGGACAACTTTTATTGCCAGGTTGACTGACGAGGCAGGGATTCGCGGACCCTTAAATGCCTTCGCGGTCCCCAAAATGTCGGCTGACCCCCATTTCAGAAACACTGGTCTAGGGTATCCCAATGTTCGGTGATGGCGCTACGTTCACTGTTGAACTTTCGCACGTCTTTCTTGTGTTGGCCGATTTTCTCGGGAAAGCTGTATAGGTGATCGTTTCTGCATTCTCAAGAAATTGAACGTGACCAATGTTTTTTGTACACCTCAAACCTATCGACCAGAAGACGGATTGTACCATGCCAATGTTCGATGCGCAAGTGAACCGGCGAGGGCAAGATATGAAGTTTACGGAGCACAGAAAACCAATACACACCGGAAGCTACCTCCATTTTAAATGTAACCACCCAACAAGGCATAAGGCGTCAATTGTTTTAACCCTCCTGCGTAGGACAATGAATACCTGCTCGTCCGAAACGGATAGCAAGAAAGAGAAGACCATAATTGCTGACTTAAAGAAAAATTGCTACTCTATTAGCATCATTGAGCGCGTCGGCCGACGCCAAAGACTTGCCAGATAAAACCAGATGCTTCTAGAAGGAAGGCAGTTCATTGAATCGCGCCCATTAGCGACCACTACGTAAAGGGGACCAGAAAAGCGCTCGCACGAGTACTGGGAAAGGAAGAAATTCTGATGGCCCACAAGCCCGCGTCCACACCGGGAAGGTTCATATTAAGACCCAAAGATCCTCAACCAAAAGAAAAAAAGCACAGGGTGTGGTTTACACCATTCAATGCGCAGACTTAGAGTGTCATCTCAGGTGGCACGCCAGAGAAATGCCCAACGTAGGCAAAGTTCTGGCAAATATAAGGGCCCAACTTTTGCCCAGTAAGGTTTTGCACCGTGGCGTTCATCAGTGCCAAAGTACGTTGCCTAATTATAGCCCAAGTTGGGCGATACTAGGGCATGCCAAAGTTTGGCTCTGCTCTGGTCCGCCACAGGAGTGCCGACGTAGTGCCACACTGGAGCCCTAACTGTCACAGAAACACCTAATTTGGGTATTTCGGACATGACAAAGTTTGGCTTTTCAATGGTCCGCCACAGGGGTGCCGGAGTAGTGCCATATTTCAACTATAACTGCCAGAGCAAAGCCTCATTTGGGTATTTGGGACATTACAAGGTTTGGTTGTTCTTGGCTCGGCCACAGTAGTGCCGAAGTAAGTGCCACGCTGGAGCCATAACTGCCAAGCAACGCCAAATTTGGATATTTCGGATAAGCCAAAGTTTGGCTTTTCTGTGATCCGCCACAGCTGTTCCAAAGTAAGTGCCGGACGTGAGGCATAACTTCCAAAGTAAATCCTAATTTGGGAATTCGGTGCATGCCGAAGTTTGGCTCTTCTCTGGCTAGTCACTGGAGTGCCAAAGAAGTGCCAAACGTGCCAAGGAAAGCCGAGAGGCCTGCTGAAGTTTGGAATCTGTCTGGTGTACCACAGAAGTGCCCTTTCGCGCACTCAAGAAGAAAATTTAAGTTAAATAAGCGTTGGAAACACGATGGTTAGATCTCATCATCTCCGTTCGTAAGCAGCACGGCGGTGCTTGGCAGTGTAGTGCCAGTACCGGCCGAAAGTCGGTTTCAGTATCGCTCAAGTGTCCAGTTTTTCAGCACAGTATGATATCCGGCAAATGTTGCCGTAGAGTCGTTTTGCCCCGGCCTAGCGTCCGCGCAATATTGTGCGAATACTGTAGGATGACCATGCTCAGTATTGGCCCAACGTCGTGCAAGTATGTGTTGTATAGGACGTTGCATATAATTTGTCACATGTCATTAACATATACGGAAGAACAAAATTTTTTCGAACGCTCTCAGAAGTTTGTTAAATCACTATCATTACACACAGCTTATTTTGGACATATTTACAAAGATCACACTTCGCTGTAAAATAAGAAACAAATGATAAAATATAAATAACACTGATTTCATGCCAAGCAAAACTCATAAATCAAAACACAAACAACCGCAAAGATTGAGAGGAAAGCAGAAGTGCTATCAGAAGCATGCTTGTAATGTAGTTACTAATAAACGCGATATAATGTAATCCTTAACCGATGCATAATCCGACTAGGGCAGCCCAAAAACTCAACCGTAAAAGAAGTTTGCGCAAATTCAAGTGACGTCTTGTCGTCGGCGAGGAGCAGTTTTTGTCGAAGCGCATCCAACAGAGCACAAGAATTCCGCGGACCCCGGCGAAAATAATGGCTATTACAGAAAAATGGGCGTGGATGTATTCCGGTCGTTTACAACCCAAAAGCACGACCGCGTCTGAAACGCACGAAAGCAACTCAACATTGAAGAGCGCATTTTGGGAACCGGACTTACGTGGCCCGCCTATTTCTATAACTATAACTTGGCAAACGGCCCAAAGTATTCCACAGATTTTCCATCAGAGCGACAGAGGGAGTCACGTGATAAATTTTCGTCCAAGCAGTTTTGTACTACGCGTTCTTCGGAGTGAAGTCACGCGTCTCGCTCCACCCTTCTGATTCGCTTAATGCGGCAGTCGCGATCGCTGACAGCCACACAAAGACGGAAAAGCAGGTGAGGAGGCGTAGCAAAAGGCGAGGTCGAAGGGGCACGAACATTGTAGCTAATCTCCCTCTGCATTTTTGACTGATAGGGAAGACATTCCATGGCTCGTACCCGAGGCTTGGAATGTCACCTTTGGTTATGGGGGAGGCAGGGGTGGGGGCGAGGAGTGAAAGACTGTGAGGGTTGATAATGTCTCACGCTTCAAAATAACTTTAAAAAAAATGAGCGCAGCTCTTGAGGAGGAGGAGGGAAGGGTACTGAGGGGAGGGTAGACCCCTCCTCCTTCTCCTCCTCCTCCCCTTATTCTTTAATATGCTCCGAGGGGGGGTCACCTGACCTCTGTAAGGAGGGGATCATGTGACCTCGAGGGGGGTGTCACGTGACTTCGGGGGGAGGGGGGGTCACGTGATCTCGGGGGGTCACGTGACCTTGGGGTGACCTTGGGGGGTCACGTGGGGTCACCTTGGAGGGTCACATGGCCTTGAGGTGACCTTGAGAGGGGTCACGTGACCTCGGGGTCACGTGAACTTGGGGTGACCTTGGGAGGAGTCACGTGACCTTGGGAGGAGTCACGTGACCTCGGGGGTCACATGACCTGGGGGGTCACGTGACCTTAAGGTGACCTTGGGGTGACCTTGGTTACGGCGACGGCGACGGTGACGCCGACGCCGCCCAAGCCGGAAACGGGCGCCTAAGAGCTGCGCTCTAAAAATCGTCCCCGCCAAGATCCTATCCTAGTTCTCCCAATTGTGAAGCGGGCACAATGCCACTGAGCCACTGTCGTTCTCTCTTTTTGTTATCGTTAGGATTTGACAGTGCTCAATCGCAATGCAAGACACGCAAAGAGCTACGCTTGCTTTTGC